TTAATATATTCTAACTTTAACAATAGCTCCTATAGATTTAACTCAAGGCACAAGTTCAAAATCTGATACTCCTAATATATCAAAGTTTTTCACAAATGAGCCTAGATCACGTAAGTATATAATTGACCTATGCTAATAAAAAGCTAATTGAGATCGATTTTTAGTGATGGATAAGTTTAAAAATACCCAGCCTTCAGTTTCTCATTTTGATACTATTCCCCCCGCTAAACGTACCAAAACAATTGACTTTACCCAATCAAGGCCCTCTTCTTCTAAATAGTATAATATAATTTTAATAATATTCAAGATATACATTGATTTCATTTTTACTGCATCAAGAAAAAATAGTATGCTATAATAATAAATAGTTTATTAGTTACTGACAAATATGATTAAGTTAAACTGTTAATAAGATATTTATTAACTTGCTTCTATTGGTTCAAAAATTGAGCTCATCGCTAGCATAGTAAGCTTTACAGAGTTATATCCATCATTAGCGATGAATACAGCCAAAGAGATAGAGCTAGTAATTAGAGAATTTGCTTTATTAAAACATTTTAATCAATTTTTGATTCATCTTACTTAATTATTATTGTCTTTGATATAATTCTAAAGTTTATTAACTAAAACACCACTGAGTAGCACATAATACTTATTAATATAATACATGATATAGAGAAATATTACTATATAAACAGAGTTATAAAATAAGGCGCTCAAGATATTTTTCAATATTCTAATAAACATGGATATCTAAGTTTTAAAACATATTATTAATAATAGTATATCAGATATAAAATATGCTTGCTATATCAAATATAAATGGGATAAATATATAATGCGGATATTTCCATGCAACTTTATTTTATTTGTGATATTGTTAAAGTTGAGAATATAATGAAAATTATTCAATCTATTAATAATGGTTCTAAAATTATTATATGTACATTATACGATTATTATTATATAGTATCATTAATATTCTATTAATCATTTAATGTAAAGTTACATTTAGTGCTATATCGATAATGCAGTATTTTTATAAATTTTACTATTAGCTCAATAGTTATATCTGCTTCATTAAAAAAATTAAATACTAACTACAAAATTGATTAATTTGAATTTTCTCATATGTTAAATTATTGAGAGAATAAAAAATACTATTAGCATGTGTTTAGGCTTTAGTAATAATTAGTCATCTACATCCGATATTTGCATTTTAATATTAAAGTCTAGCATTTAGTCAACAAAATTTAACTCAATTTTTTACTTGATCAATTTAATTAATATGAAATATTAAATACATAATAATTAAGTCCCAGAGCAATGCAAGAATCAAAATAATGGATAGTAATAGCACAGGTATATAAAAAATTAATAAAACTTTTAGCAAGCATGCAAATGAGCTAAACTATAGTATTTACTTACTAACATCATTCAATTGTCAAGTGCTAACAAATAGAAAAATATTTAGTCTAAATTAAGCTTTTTATTAGTATATTTTTGGTAATATTCGGTTCTTCTTCAAAATAATAGCTTTTTTAATTTTAATTTCACGAAATCTACTAGATAAATTATTTTATGGCGTATAATATAAATTATTGTGCATAATTAAAAAGTATACTGATATGATCGAATACTAACTGTGAAAAATGGTGCTGTCATATGTTTGGTCATTATAATATACTTGAATATATAAACCTCAAATTTTAGTGATAATACAACTAAACATTAAATCTAAATCAATCCAACTTTACAAATTTAGTAATTTAAAAAGGGGTGAATAAATTATAATATTGTAGCTATAATAAATAACTCTAAATATGTTCTAATTCAAGCACTAATATTAAATATTGCAATATATAGAGAATAAATTTCATAGATTTTTGTATCCATCAAAATAAATATCATTAATATTAAAATATTATCGAAATTTGATTAATTATGACCCTTCTAATATAGTATATTAAATTGTATTATTTGATGATGTACTAGTTTTATAAAAATTAACTTTACTGAGCTATTATTATTGTTATTATTTGATGTTAAATAGAAGTTGATAATCTTTTATTATTTCTTTTCACTTGAATAAGGTACTTTATTTTTTCACCACCATTATTAACATCAATTGCGTTACAGTTATTTCTGATTTTTTGACGGTTATTTGACAGATATTGGCTAAGGTTTACAATGTTAAATAGGGAATATTTAGCATAATAAAAGATGACATAATAAAAATATTAATACGCCAACTCATTAAGTGTGTTTATTAAAAATATTTTATAGATAAAAATCATTACAACTCTAGACGTATAATAAAAGTTCTATTTTTATAATCTTATAAGATAAGGTAAAGTTGTAGCCAATAAAATATTAATTGAGAGAATATATCCAAAGAATTGAATTAATTGAGAGAGCAAGATAAATTAATTTAGAATTGAATTTCTAGTCAGGGATAATCACACTCTCAAAAAAGAATTTAATTGTAGAGTTAAAAATAGTAATATTACATATCACCCTTTCGTATTCAATTAACTCTCTCTAATCTCTCTCCAAAATTATCTTTTTCCACTTTTACCACTTTAACATACTATTCATATATTATTGTTCAAGCTTAATCTTATTTAAGCTTTTTTACTCTACTTAATAATAATAATATTTGTTATTATTAATCCAACACTTATATCATTCAGTATTATTAAAATACACGTTCTTTTTTCTACCCCTTTCTCTCTACTTATCACTAGCATAATTATACTAAAGAGATAAATAATTGTAATAGAATATTCAAAAATTAAACTCTTAATTTATAGAGTTTACTATTTATAATTATTAAAACTTTTTTTAACTTTATCTTTCTCAAAAAGTTTATTCTATTAACAAGTAACAAAATAAAATTTTACAAAACATAAAAAAGAGAGAAATAATTTATTATGACACATCTCACGGAAACAGCTACACAACCGGCGAGTATTACTAGCACCAAAAGCTCGACAGTCCCCGAATATAACAGAGCTAAAAGTCTTAGCATTTCCCACATCAACACTAATTATCAACCTACTCCCCCTCGTTTAAGAAGGAGTACTCAGCCCATTTCCCATAATTTAGCCCTCCCCCAATTAAAAGAAGCCGTTAACTTTACAGACTTGCACTTAGACGTTAAACCTAACAAACATAATAGGTAATTTATTTGAAATTTTACTTAATTGATTGAATACTAATTTATATAGCTGGAGTACTTTTCAAGACCACTTGGTTTCACCCACGCAAATAAGCTTCCCAAAAGATTTCCTGACACCTTTAACCCCACAGCCTAGTCAAACAGTAATAGAAACTCATAATATAGTTGTTGATTATGACCCCATTACACAAAATAAAATGATAAATCAATATGAAATAATAAGGGAATTAGGTAGAGGTTGTCATGGAAAAGTTAAACTAGGGAAAAATGTAGAAACCGGACAGTTATTCGCTATTAAAGTTATTTATAAGAATACTAGAAGGAGACTTGGGAGTAAATCTTTGCTGTCTACTCAATTAACAAAAATTCAAAGAGAAATAGCAATCCTAAAAAAATGCCAACATCCTCATATAGTAAAACTTCAAGAAGTTATAGATGATCCAAAATCTAAAAAAATTTATATGATATTGGAGTATATGGATGGAGGGGAAATTAATTTTAAGGACCCTGATACAAATGAGCCAATATTAGAATTGGATACTATAAAGAATATAATTAGGAATGTTGTGCTAGGTCTCGAGTACTTACATAACCACGGGATTATTCATAGGGATATTAAACCTGCTAATTTATTATGGAGTTCAGATGGCACGGTTAAAATTTCTGATTTTGGAGTAAGTTATTGTAAGAGGATAAAACTGGACACTGGGTTAAGTCACTCTAGTTCGTTTACGTATTCTTCTTCACCAGGTTCTTCCTCTTCTAGACCGCAATCAATAGGCGATTATAATGAACTACCGGGGCTAGCAATTAATAATAATAGGATTAGTGTGCAAAGTTTTAATCAAAGTCAAGAGGAATTCAATAATAATAGTAATAGTAACGAGGATGACTTGGAATTAGCTAAAACAGCTGGCAGTCCTGCTTTCTTTGCTCCTGAGCTTTGTTGGTCAGGTAATTATCTTAAAAATATTTTATTAGCATTCTTAACTAATTAATTTTATATAGGAGAAGATTCTAACTTTAGTAAAAGACCACCAATAACCAGTGCAATTGATATTTGGGCCCTTGGAGTCACATTATATTGTTTCATATATGGAACTGTGCCTTTTACAGCCGAAACGGAGTTTGAACTATTCGAAATAATACCAAGAGACCCTATTATCTTCCCAGAGCATATCCCTATCGACCATCAGTTAAAAGACTTACTACTTAAATTACTTGAAAAGGATGTTAGTAAAAGAATTTTAATATCTGATATTAAGGTAAGATAACATTGATTAGTTTATTAATATTCAACTAATGTGATATTAAATTATAGACTCATCCTTGGATTCTATCCGATTTGCAAGATCCTGAAGAATGGATACAAACTAACTCGGAAGAGCAATATCCAAAAGTAGATTACACAGATCATGAAGTAGAAAATGCTATAACTGTAAAAGTAATATTATTACAGCATATTAAGTCAAATATTAACCTTTTATTTAGGAAAAGATTAGGAGACAGTTTAGAAAGTTTAGCGGTACATTTTTGCGACCATTTAAAAAATAGCTTAAATTAAGCTTTCATGTAATTATTGCTTTTTTAATAAAAAAAAGGAATTAATTATTGTATTTTATATATATTTAGCATTATTGCTTTTAGCAAAACTATTATTAATTATTATATATTTCGCTAATAAAAAAACTAACATATGATTATTTTCATTAAATAAAAGCAGGGTTTTTAATATAATTAATAGTAAATGAATGTGATTAATTAAACCTCAGTTTGTAACTATTATGCTCTAAAATTTTAAAAAATAATGAAAAAGTTATGCCCATACGCGGGATTGAACCACGGATCTTCTGTTTACAAGACAGACGCCTTACCACTTGGCCACATAGGCATATTTAAGGGAATTAATTAGCATTAATAAAACCTAAATTCATTAATTTTAATTACTCATTTTAAACACTGTTTATATTTTGTATTAATATTTATATCAGGCTCAATTTACTTTTACATACTACCTTTTTTCTTCGTATATTCTTCGCTTCCTTGAATATATATTATTCCTCCTTTTATTTCATTTTTCCATATAGCAACATTTTTCCGTTATTTATATCTTAATCTAATTTCTGCCATTTAATAATAAATTTCAGTTATATTTACTTGTTTTTGATACCTTATTCACACAGAATATTATTGACAAATAATACTATTAAATGGATTGCTTATCCATTAAAAGAATATACTAGAAACTCATATTTATTCAATATTAACATTTAAATAACATCCTGATTTTAAAGTTTTTTAAGTAACAGTTTAATTCTGAGATATATATATATATATATATATAATAAGCACTGGTAGATATATATTAAAATTATCTAATATACTAGAATAAAATATATTATGTAAATAAAATGACGATATGTAATGGTTTATTTAATTAGGAGCGAATGTGCAAAAAATTAAAATTAATTTTAAACTCATATGGTTCTATATAAAATATACTAAATATTATTTTCTATTTAGTCTTCATCCCAGTTAGGGTTGTTCTTGGGCATCTTGGGTCCTCCAGCGGGTTTACTCATAATGATTTGATCAACTTGTAGTACGGTAAGGGCGGAGTTAGTAGCTAATTCGATAGCATTCTTCTTAACAGCGTATGAATCGAGAATACCATTTTCTACGGCATCTAAAATGCTAGCAGTTTCGCTTTCAATGTTGATACCTTGATGAGAAACAGTTTCGGAAGAGTAGTGGGCAGCGTGGATCTTTGAGAGGATTTCAATACTGTTCATACCAGAGGTTTCACCAAGAATACGGGGAACAATTTCGAGAGCTTCAGCAAATTTCTTAATGGCGTGTTGATGAATACCAGGGGTCTTTTGACCGAAGTTATGGAGTTGTTTAGAAAGTTGCATTTCACTGGCACCAGCACCGGCTAAAAGTCTGCCGTCTTTTGTAAGGGCCTTAACAGTGTTGACACCATCATCAATGGCACGTTCAACATCATCTAAAAAGTTTCTGGTAGCACCACGGAGAAGGACAGTGACGGTCTTAGTGCGTTCTTGCTCTTGTCTGAATACTGTAACACGATCACTACCGATTTCAATGGATTCAACGACTTCACAGTAGCCCATTTCTTCAGCCATAGGAACACCTAAACGAGCTAAGGCAGTACCATCGACAACTTGGCATAAACGACGCAAGTCGAATTTGGATTGTACTTTAATAGCCATCATACCGAAACGGTTGATGTAATGAAGAGCTAATTCACCAACAGTACCACCGGTAACAAGAACCTTGACACCAGCATCAGATAATTCTTTGAAGATCTAAATTTTAAAAATGAGTTGTTAGCATATAAACTTAAAATAGATATAAGCAGTATTTACTTGTTCAACTTGCTTTTCTTCGCCCTTAGTAAAATCCATCATTTCTTTAGCATTGTGGATCAATACGGTTCCCTTAGTTTCAGTAGCAGAAGTATCTAAAGGACAGCTGAAAATGGCAACTTTAGCTTTTTCAACACGAGTAACTAAGGATTCGGGTTCTCTGCCTAAAACCATACCCTTAACAACACGGGATTCATTAATATTACCACCTAAAATTTTAACAACACGGACGTTATCAACATTGAAGTTTTTAACGGTTTTAGGCATAACTTCAAGGGCAGCTTCGTGAATTAAACTTCCGATGAAATCTTCGTAACCATTGAGCTTGGAGCCAACTGAAGTTGTGATAGCCTTAAGGACAGCTTCGGATTCTTTGATGTTTTCAACAGTTTCAACAGGAAGAGCTAATTAATTGTGTTATTCACTATTTCATAGCATATTCAGTTAAATTATTTACTTTCTAAAATTTCTAAAGTCTTCTTAAGAGCAATTTCGTAACCTTGGAGGACTTCTGAAGGGTGTAAGCCCATTTTTAAAAGCTCTTCAGCCTTGGCAAGAAGCTCGGCAGCAAGAACAATAACAAGATTGGTAGCATCACCTAACTAAAAGAATTAAAGATCATCATAAATTCAATGTTCCATATTTTTTGATATATATTTAATTACCTCACTTTCTTGTTGCTGACTGGCCATAACAACAACTTTAGCAGCAGGATGAACAACTTCGATTTCACGAATCATAGTAGCAGCATCGTTGGTAACAAAAAGCTTTTCTAAGCTGTTAACAACAATCTTATTTCTACCGTTAGGACCGAAAGATGTTTGTGTAATTTGGCTTAGTTCTTTGATGGCAGTGATATTCTTGATGACGGCTTCTTCAACACCTTGGGCCATCTTGTAGCCATCTTTGAATAAACCGGAAGAGGCGGGTTTAGGGATTCTTAAAGCCATTTTGAATAAATATTATTATAATTTAAGGCTAATTAAAATTAAAATTATTAGAAATCAATATGTTTAGAGTATTGCCTTCGTAATAAAGTTTCCATTACGCTACACAAATTAAATTATTATTCTAGACGTTTACGAATTAAATTTATGGGTTTATGAGAATTAAGTTAAGTTACGAATTAAAAATTAATCAATACAATGCGTTATATTACAAATTGTCTCTTTTTAAAAATACAATTTTAAAAGTCAATTAAATTTTGAATACAGCGCTTTTAGTGATATTCAATTTATAAAAATCCAATAAAACTAGAAACAATAAAAAAATTATAGTTATATAACTTTTAACTCAATTTAATACCTTTAATTTTAAAACAGTATGGGTGAAGGAAATCATCGCAGGGGTGGACAGCCTCATCGTAAAAACAATTATAATTCTAGAAATTCTAGACCAAATCAACATTATCAACCCCCTCAAGAGGATGAAATGGACCAATATAACGATGAAACTTTTGGGATGGATATTGAAGAAATGAGTAAGCTTTAATATTAATTTCCTATTTTTTTTGAATTGAGTTTTAATCTATATTACTCAGAGGAGGAATTCGACTTTGGTTCTACAATGCCTCAGCAGGAATCTCATAATTATAATTATAATCCTCTCCATAACCACGGTCCTTATGACGATTACTCTGGCCCCTCAAATCCTGAATGGGCTGGTGAGCAACCTGGTTGGAACAATCAGTATGGACAACATAGTCCCAGAGAAGTGCAGGTAAATTTAATTATGATATTTTTTGTTCTTTAATTAACCAATTTAATTGTTTATTTCTTTTCATTTAACTAGCAAGGTATATTTAATACAAAGCTTATTATTTATAATGTGTAATAACTTTTTATGTTTTAGGTCAATATGGTCATCAACAAATGCAAGAATATCCCTATCCAGGTCAAGAGTATGATGCTCAAGATAACAACGCTTATAACATGGATCCCCTTCAAGCAAGCTTAATGCAATCTGCACCCATGCCTCCTCCTTATGATTGGGAAGCTGCTAGACTTGAAAGAAAGCACGAAAGAGAGCAAAGAGCTGTAAAAATGGCAAAACATGCCAATCTTATGACACAATATGACAAAGACTATATTTCACGTATTCAGCTTTCTCAATTTATGAACTCCGTTTCCGATCCAAGTCAGGAAGACTTTTATTATAAAACCTACCAAACTTTACATAATACAAGTACTCCAACAGAACCTAATAAGCATAAAGGAAAGCCTGAAGCTGTTAATAGAATGCAGCAACAAATGAAGAGAATTATTAAAGAATCTCAAAAGAAAAAAGATCAGCAAACTACTGGTACTGATACTGAAGGAAGTACTCTTGGTAAAATGGCCCAAGCATCCACTAGAAACCCCAAAAAGGCCCTCCAAATTATTTCCAAGACAAGTCAAACCTCTCCTCCAGATTCTGCTGGTGCTTCTCCTAATATCGATATGCCCAAATACGATGCTATTAGGACTCCTAATGCTGCTATAAAATCCAATGCCACTCTTACTCAGCATCAACATAAGAGAATATTGCAGCAAATTGAAGCTGTTTATGACTCTGTCTTATTAACAGAACAGCTAGCTCAAAACCGTCCCAGGCAAGATAAAGCAAATCAAGATAAAGATCAAGCTGATAAAGTTATGGAATGGACAAGGGAAATTGATGCTGCTGTTAAATCTACATGGGAAAGATTGGAGGTTGAAGATATTAGCTCCCTTCATCCTATTCATCCTCTAATTCGATTCTTGAGCTATTCCAAAGGTAAAAAGATTATTCCTCGCGCTTTGAGAACTCAAAGACCTGAAAGAATTTTGAATTTTATCACTGTTATTATCCATAACTTTGAAATGCTTGATGTTTGTAAAAATGGTATTTATCCAGTCAAGGGTCAACTCCCTCAATCTGTTTTAGATGAAGTAGATCTTTTCTTAGGCACTGTTATGCCTCCAATAATGAGCTATGTTAATGATGCTCCTCTTCCTATTGCAAATGGTCTACTTGCTCTATTTATGGATCGCTGTAATGTTGCTTGGGTAGCTCGTAGTAAAGTAGGTCTAATTATGCTCACTATCTTATTGAGTCGCATTGAAACTCTCAGACAGTCCCAAGCTCCTCCTCTCAGCCCAGAGCAAGAAATTCAAATCACCCAAAGTATCGAATTATTCAATCTCTTATTCACCATGCTTCACAAGCATTTGGCTACTATTTTCCCTCCACCAAGTTCTCATCAAGACGATATGCATGTCTGGCAATTCTTGGCATCATTATCAATTGGATTAGTATTAGAACATCAACAAGAGTTGGTTAAACAAGTTCGTGAAAAGGTTATGGAAACTCTAGACAGTGTCAGCAAGGGCAACGTATCCCAAGATATTGTCAATACCAAGATCTCTAATGTAAACTTATTCTTACATGCCATCGGGCTTGATGCATCTCAAGTAATGGCTACTCAAGTCCAAGCCTAAAAGCATCAATACTGTTAATGCATCAACTCATTCTAATCTTCTGT